ACCAGTTAACCCTACAAGTACATCTCTGCAGTATGGGAGGAAGCTGTAGTAGCTGGGAGGACACGCTCCATCATACTGCAGTACAGTAACCACATAGTGCAATCTTTGTGTATTTTATCGTGCTTTTATGTTCAGGTAACCAACAGTAACTAGAAGATTAGCATGCACCAGTCACACACAGTCTACATAACTAGTAGAAAATGTACTTCATCTCTTTCTTCAAGTACTTAACAAACATATGCTTCATATACATAAGCAACACTGTGTTGGTGCTGTTTCCCAGCATGAGTACTGCTGCTCACTGATACTCACCTCCGTCTCTAACCTAGCATCATCACATCACCTTTATCCTCATCAGTGTCAGTACAGTCCTTCTCCACTCAGACATCCTCTCACTCTCCAAGATCGTGTTAAACTATCTGGTTAAAAAGTCCTCCATCCTCATTCCTAGACATCGCCATACCTCCACAGGTATGTCCTCTGGGCCAATCACATTTCTCCTCTTCATCTTCTTCAAAGCTGCCTTCACTTCCTACTTCCTAATCCTCTGGACTTCCTGATCCACTGACACTCCTCCATCTGTCCTCTCTCTCCCTACATCTTCTCAACACACTTTCTTTACTTGACAGTAAATTTCCACCCCTGTCTTTAATCACTAACCTGCTGCACATCCTTTCTAGCTCGATGCTGACAATTTCTTTAGAGTCCCAACTCACATACAACTCATTATAAGCCTTCATCTAGCCTCCCAGTCCTCCTGTATACTTTCTACATCTCCCTGACTAACCTACTTATTCTTAACTTCTTCCTTTAAATAATTTCTGTAACTGCTCGTTCTACTCCCAAGTCTCTTTCCTCTCTGCTACCAAACACCTTCTTGGTAGTTCGCCTCAGCTGTACATTCTCTCAGCTCCTCCTTGAACTCTTTCTCCACTGAATCTTTGCCTCTGTCTTCACTCACTTCCTCTTCTTGACTTACAAAATCATCCCACAGACTCCACTGCCACCACATTCAGTCTCCTCTCACGTTCAGATTTTACCTTCTGTATAAGACGTAGCCCCCGGTGTTCACCTTCCTCCACCCTTATTCATCATTCTGTGTTCCCTCTTTTTAAACACATGTTCACCGTGGTCATTTCCATCCTTTTTGTAAAATCCACCAACATCTGTCCATCTGCATTTCTCTCCACCATGTCTACCCAACATGCATTGCCCCAATTCTTTTCCTTTGTCTTTGCGTTTGTGCTGTTTCTGGTTTAAGGCTTAGTGATCAAAGGTTACCTGTCGTAGATCGATGAAGGCCAGCTGAAGAGTGTCTCCTTGAAACCCAGGCACTGGTTCTGAGCTGGCGAACACTGAGAAGTTACAAAGACAACGTCACAAAACAGTCAGCTCAAAGCTGGAGTTTCAGGTCTGTTTCTTACTAAACAAGCACACACTGGACATTTGGAGGTCTGTGGTCATTCAGCTAAATGCTGGATCAGGAAAAAACTATTTAGTTATGCAAGAAATAAGAATCATTTTTGTTGTAAATGAAACATTTATATGTGAACCAGTGGAGGCAACACATGCTGATCAGCACAAAGAGTCTGCACCACACCAGCAGTATCACACAAGAAATGTTATTTTACTCTGGGTGATTTGTTT